TTTGTGTTTATTTTATTGGAGTCACTAATATTCTTGGATATATGAGTTTATATTTTTCATCCAGTATGGCAAAAAAAATTGGTAATTATTTTTCCAAAAAATATGTTTGCCTCCCTCTTCTGGGAATCTAGTAACTTATATTTTAGATGGCCTGATACCATCCCACACTGAGAGAGACTCTGCTCATTTTCCTCTACACTGGCTAGATACAACTCAAATGTCTTCCACCTATGCATGAACTGTGGTGGTTATTTAGTTTTGTATTCATACCATTTGTTCTCTCCCTGGTAGTTGATCTTTGACTGGTCTTGTAGAACGTCACCTTGCAGGCCACGCGCGGTGGCTCACGCTTGTAATCCCAGCACTTTGGGAGGCTGAGGCTGGTAGATCACGAGGTCAGGAGATGGAGACCATCCTGGCTAACACGGTGAAACCCCGTCTCTACTAAAAATACAAAAAAAAGTAGCCGGGCATTGTGGCAGGCGCCTGTAGTTCCAGCTACTCGGGCGGTTGAGGCAGGAGAATGGTGTGAACCCGGGAGGTGGAGCTTGCAGCGAGCCGAGATTGTGCCACTGTACTCCAGCCCGGGTGACAGAGCGAGACTCCATCTCAAAAAACAAACAAGCAAAAACAAACATGTATGCAGATTTCTGGAACTCTTTTTCCCCCAGAGCTCCCTTCTTTCTGATACTCTGCTCCATAAATTGTAACCATCTTTCTTGGCTTTCTGAACTCTTATGTCTGTCTCCTAAAACTTAATGAGACCACTTTATTCTGCTTGAGATCCTTCTCCCTCAATCATGGTCCGGAAGTGTCCTCAGGTAGAAATCTGGGATTATTGTGGAGCTCTTCTCATTTTTGCTCTTATCTCAAAGATCACAGGCATGTGCTACCTCTTTCCAGTGTCTTAGAACAGGCGTTTCCTATAATTTGTCCAGTTTCCTAGTTGTTCATGGCAGGAGGGCTGTTCCCACATCAGTTATTCTAGTGATAAGCAACAATCCTGTCTTAGTCTGTTTTCTGTTGTTATAACAGAATACCTGAGACTGGGTAATTTATAAAGAAAAGAGGTTTATTTAACTCAAGGTTCTGCAGGATGAGAAGTTCAAGGGCGTGGTCCTAGCTTCTGGCAAGAAATTTTGCACTACATCACAACATGGCAGAGAAAGTTGAAGGGGAAGGGGACATGAGCAAAAAGTGAGGCAAGAAGGAGGAGGAACTTCAGCTTCTAACAACCCAGTCTCTCAGAAACTAATCCATTCCCCTGAGAAGTAATCCTGTATCAGGAGAGTGAGAACCCACTACCAGGAGAATGGCACCAAACCATTCATAACCGAAACCTTCTCACTAGGCTCCACCTTCCAGCACTGCCTCTTTTTAAGGATCAAATTTCAACATGAGTTTTGGTGGAGACAGGAAACCACAACCAAGCCATAGCAGACCTCTATAATTTTTGGTGCTATTGTATGTTTTAAAAATATTTTCTAATTTTGGTTGCTGGTATATAGGAACAAATTCGTTTTTAAATATTAATCTTGTACACAGCAACCTTGCTGAACTATTTTATTTGTAACAGTTTGCAGAATTTCTTAGGGTTTCTATGTAGATAATCAGAATGTTCATGAATGCGGACAGTTTTATTTTTCCTTTCCCATTTTATTTACTTTTCTTGCCTTAAGGCATTGGTTAGCACTTTTAGCACTGTGTTAAGTGTTTTAGCAGCCACTCTTTTTTTTCCTGAAACTAAAAAATTCCTTTAATGTTCTACCTTTACATAGGAGGTTTGTATGTTCTGGTTGATAAATTTTATCAGGTTAAGGAACTTCCTGTGTATTCCTAGTCTGTTAAGAATATTTTCAAAAATCATATGTGTGTATTAAATTACATCAAATGTATTTTTCTGAATCTACTGAGATGATCACATGCTTTTTCTCTTTTTATCTGGGATGTTGAATTACATATTTTTTCTAATGTGAAAATATCCTGATATTTCTGGATTAACTCCACTTTCTTAATACCCTGCTGCTTTGGGTTTCTACAATTTATTTAGAATTTTTTCATATGGATCATAAACGAAACTGACATAAAGTTTCTCTTTTTGATGCTGCTTTTCTCTGGTTTGGTATGAAGAATATACTAGCATTATAAAATAGATTGAATAGTTTCTCTTTTTATGTGTTTTCTAGCATAATTTGCATGAGATAGGAGATACCTATCAGTTCTCTAAATATTTAGAAGCATCCATTTGTGAAATCATCAGGTTTTGCTTAGATTTGTTTAGGTTATTTTCTGTGGATGGATTTTTCATTACCGAATTTATTTATTTAGATTTGTAGAGTTTATTCAGCTTTTTTTGTATCCTTAAATAGGTTTGGGTAAAATTCATTTTCCAAGGCAGTATCCCGTTTTATCTCTGTTTCACTGTTTTCAAATTTATGGGTGTAGAGTTGATCATACTGCTTTTTACTATGTTGTATTTATAGTATGCCCTTTCATTCCAAAATGTGTCCTCTCCCATGTTTCTTGATTAATCTTGTATAACAATGCTTTATTTATTTCACTAGTTTTTATTTTAAGAAACCATTTTAAGATTTCTGTCCTATCTTTATTTTTATTGCATTATTTTCTGGTCCTATTTAGTATTTTCTTACTTCTCCTTTCTTTAGCTTTACTTTTATTTTTAATTTTTTTTGTTTACTAATTTACTGTTTTTTGTTTATTTGTTTTTTTGAGATGGAGTCTTACTCAGTCGCCTAGGCTGGAGTGCAGTTGTGTGATCTCGGCTCACTGCAATCTCCGCCTCCCAGGTACAAGCAATTCTCCAGCCTCAGCCTCCTGAGTAGCTGGAATTATAGGTGCCCACCACCACACCCGGCTAATTTTTGTATTTTAGTAGAGAGAGGGTTTTACCATGTTGCCCAGGCTAGTCTTGAACTCCTGACCTCAGGTGATCTGCCTGCCTCGGCCTCCCAAAGTGCTGGGATTACAGACATGAGCCACTGAGCCCGGCCGACTTACTAATTTTGTTTACTAATTTGTTTACTAGTTTTTGTTTACTTTTTTTCCTAATAGGCATTTAAGACTAAATGCTTTGGTACTACTTTAGCTGCATTTTACTTTAATATATTTTTAACGTGGTATACTTGTAATATTTAGTACTGAGTATTTTCTGCTTTTCAGAGCTATTTAGGAAGTTTTGTTATTTTGAATGTTCAAATCGATCAGGTTTTGTATTGTCTTTTTATTATTGATTTCTAATTTAATTGTATTTGGGCCAGAAATACGGTCTATTTGATAATATTCTTTGGTATATGTTGATCTTTTTCATGGCTTAGAATGGCTTAGCTGTTTTTGGTGCTCTGAAATTTCACTGTGATGTTTCTAGGTGTGGTTTTATTTTAATTTATCCGGATTGGGTCACATTTTCCATTCTGGAAAATTTAAAATTGTCTCCTTACTGCTCATCTCCCCTTGCTATTATGCCTATCTGGAACCTCTCTTAGATATATACTGTGCCTTCCCATTTTGTCCTTCATATCTCATAACCTCTTGTTTCATATTTTCCAACCCATTTTCTCCTACTGTATGGCAAGTTTCCTCATAGCTCTGTTCCATTTATTAATTTCCTTATCTGATGTTTCTAATATATTGTTTAACCCATCTTTTAAAAATTAATTTCATTGAATATATCTATTTATATAACTTCTAATTCATCTTTCTCCACAGCTATTTGAAGTTCTTGGGGGTTTCATACTGTTGGGGGGTATGTGTGTCCCTTAGTTTGGGGATTGATAGATTATTTCCTTACGTATTTTCTAATTTTGAATAGTGAGCTCATCTTCAACAGTGCCTTATCTGTGGAAATTCTGTGGAATCTGTCTTTAGAAAGTATCTCTCCAGAAGGGGTTTATCTTTGCCTTTTCTGGAACCCCAAGGTTGATTCAGTATGGTGGTGTCTTTTCTCCTGCACCCAGAGAACACGCTGAGACAGACGAGCTTCCTGTTTTCCTCTTTTGTTGGTGGGAGGAAATTTTTTTTTTTTTTTTTCAATGTAATGTTAGCCTCTGGAAGTCCTGGCTACATGTAGGGAGAGGTGGTGAGTTTTAATTCCACTTCCTTGTTTGGGTTATTTTTTATCCATTTTTTTTTTCAATGTAATGTTAGCCTCTGGGAGTTCTGGCTATACATAGAGAGAGATGGTGAGCTTTAGTTTCACTTCCCTGTTCAGGTTATTTTTTATCTAGGAGAGCATTAACACCAAGCATGGATTCATATTTCGTGCTTAGTACCTTTCCAGTGTTTGACTCCCCAAGCTTTCCCTTACTTAGAGAGCATTTAAAGGATGTTTGCTATATTTTGATCACTTTTTTGTAACACATATGTATTGGGATGCCATTGACATCTACCTTGAGGCTTTGGCCTTGAGGTGATGTGTGAGTCTAATTGCTCAAAGCAGAGGACTTCAGTGATTTCAAGGTCATTGTTTTATACACCAAGGATTTCTGTGAACAACAATAATGCAGATTTTTCTCTTTTGTGGCATGTACATGCTTGGCATGAAGCTTTCAAACTGCATCTGTCTTCATTTCCTTAAATTTTCTCAAAGTTAATGAAAGTTAAATGAATTTAAGGGTATGGAACTAAAACTACAAATACTTGTTTTTAGTTTTTGTTTTTGTTTTTTGATTAAGTGGTGTAACCACAGAATGTTTTTGTAACTTTTACAAATAGATTCATTTGTAATGTTATCAAAAATATTCATTGGGGATTACACAATAAAGCAAGTCTTCAACATCTACATAACATATGAGAGTGTTATTGGTACTTAATGAAAGCCTATCTTTAAAAGAAGTAGGCATTCCTTGAGGGAAAAGTGTTATGAAATTGAGAATTTTGATTATCCTTATTGCTTTACTGTGATTCACCACTAAAACTGATTTCTTAGTAAAATATTGCTTCACTTTGATTTCAGGAGTCTTCCTTACATCACTGAATAATGAATGAGGATGAGAGAGAGAAAGAGAAGAGGTATGCATTCATAACTGACTGACATTTCTGTCAAAGCCCTCTCCCTCGTGCTCTGTTCCCATTTCACATCTGGCAAAATGCTATTTCCTCAGGGAAGCCTAATTCACTCAGAGAAATGTCATTTCTCCAGTGTTGTTTTTTTTTTTTTCCCATAACTCTCAGCCCCAACTCTATTATAATACTTAGCACATTGCCTATTTACCTGACAGCCCTCTTCCTCAAACTGTGTCCTCCATGCCTTGCATAGTGCCTGCCCAGAGCTGACTCTAATGGTTGTCAAATGACTGACAAGTATACAGTCCCTGATATTTTTAGAAGACTGTTTTTGAGACTTGGCTTGCCTACAGCTTAAATTCATTTGTGTTTGAGAAGATAAATTAATTTATTTTTCCAGATCAAACTTCTAAAATAAATTCAAGTACACTGATCAGAAAGATTTTGTCAAAAGTTTGCAGTATGATCTGTGGTTTTTAAAAGTAAAAAATAAAAAATCAATTAGCATTTTATGGTTCAGTCTCCTCTCTGAGAAGAGCATTGGCTTTGAGAGAGCCTCTTGTGTGATTATAGGCCACTTAGAAAGAATTTAATTTTATCAGAAACACTCTTGCTAAAAGATGTGATAATATATGGTGGAACAAAGACCCACCGTTAAATTCAAATTAATTTGGACTTATTTTATATAATTCTTAGGTCACTGTGCCAGGTACTGTGTGGGGCTTTGTTCTGGAAGAGACAAGGAGACAGATATGGTCCCTACCCTCAAGGGCCCCACAGCAAAGGGAGATGAAGTTGGCTTTCATTTCCTTATTTTAATAATGATTATTATTGTTGCTCTATGGGTAATCAAAGGACTGGATTTTTGCTCAAATATTGACACTAACTTCTCCCTTTCTCTCTTCTTACCTTCTATTGTTCCATTATCTGATTTCCCCACCCTACCCTTGCCATTAGTAACCCTGATTGGTTTTCTTTTTCTCAATTAGGGATGAATCTGATGAATTCGAAAAGGCAAAGAAGGCCGAATTAAATGCCGTCTTGATAAGACTCCGCAAAATACTGCAAACTCATGGCTATCCTCTAAAAGGAGACAAATCGGAAACATCACAGAGCACCACTGTCCTTTCACAAAAGGACAAAGGTTTGATTTGTTCAGCCTCCACCATCATTATAGGTTTTCGATTAGCCACATTGAAAATGAGCGGGGGGTGGGACAACTTGGTCTCTCACTTTACCTCAGACATTCGCTGGGAAGAATTAATGATTAGAGGAACTCTTGAAGTACCTTCTAATACACAGATAGTTTGTTTCTTTGCATTCACAAGTTTGTATATGGTTGACACTTAAAATGTGATTGAGATTCATGCAAAAGTGGGCCAAGGAAATGAAAATTAATAGAAGCATATGTGGGAAATAATGCAAATTTCTGTATCTTAAGCACTTAAAGGTATGTGGTAAATGTTGCTGAGGGAAACATGGCCCCGAGCCTGTAAAATATTACCTACAATATTTTAAGGTTTAACTCAGTAGGTTTAACTCAAAGCATCTGAGTAAGTCATGCCCATAAATATGTAATTATACTGTAATAATCTCTTACCTTAAAATAATTTTTGACTTCATGATACCTCCAGGTATTGCCCTATTTCTGTGTTCTCCTTCACAGAAAAACTTACTGAAATGATTTTATGGGTCCTGTCTCCACTGGCTCACATCCCATTCTTTCTTCAACCCACTTCACTGAGGCTTTAGCTTCTACCATTCAACTATAACTACTTTTGTCAGGAATACCAGTGACCTTCACATTGCTGAATTATTTGGTTTAACTGTCCTCATCTTTCTTGACTTTTCCAAAACATTGTACGTGTGACCTCTCCCTCCTTTTTGAAACACTTTTCCCTCAGGTTCAGGGACAGCACAGTCACTAAGTTTCTTTCCTGGTTCATTGGCGTATTAGTCCACTTTCACACTGCTGCTAAAGACATACCCAAGCCTGTGCAATTTACAAAAGAAAAAGGTTTAATTGGACTTACAATTCCACATGGCTGGGGAAGCCTCACAATCATGACGGAAGGGGAAAGGCACATGTTACATTGCAGCAGGCAAGAGAGAGAATGAGAGCCAAGCGAAATGGGTTTCCTGTTATGAAACCATCAGCTCTCGTGAGATTTTTTCACTACCACGAGAACAATATGGGAGAAAGTGCACCAATGACTCAATTATCTCCCACCAGGTCCCTCCCACAAACATGTGGGAATTATGGGAGTACAATTCAAGATGATATTTTGGCAGGGACACAGAACGAAACCATATGAATTGGCCACTCTTTATCTGTGTTTTTTTACTTCTTCCTCCCCTTTCAACTTCTAAACATGGGTGTACCCATGGCTCAGTCCTTGGACTTTTTTCTCTTTTTTCTCTTTTATATTTACACAGTACTCATTTTCCAGGTTACCTTATCTATTCCCTTGATTTGAAGTATTATGTAGATATCAGTGACCTCCACTTTTAAAATCTATCTCCAGCCCTGAGCTCCTTCCCTGAGAATCATACTTATTATACAATTAGCAAAAGAGTTTTCTACATGATGTCCTCAATTGCATATTAAATAGAAGGGTTAACATGGCCATAAAGGAACTCTTGATACCCCTACACTGCATTGCCTGTCTCATCCCCACCTCCAGTTCTCTTCATATCAGTAACTGGCAACCACCAGTCGTTCTGCCAGGCGCACAAGCAAAAAGTTTAGAAGTCATTCTTATTTCCTCCACTTCATTCATCATCCTATCCAATTCCTCTGCAATATTTTTTTGGCTTCTACCTACACAGTATGTTTCATATCTATACATTTCTCACCATTTGCGTAGCCTTGATGTACCACCCAAATCCAGGCCACCATCATCTCTTACTTTTTTTCTTTTTCTTTTTTAAATTGATCAATAAAAATTGTGTGTATTTATGGTATAGAACATGGTATTTTGATATATGTATACACTGTGGAATGGCTAAATCCAGCTAATTGATATATACATTACCTCACTTACTTACCTTTCTCCAATGAGACCACATCAAATCTACTCTCTTAGCAATTCTCAAGTGTACAATATATTGTTATTTACTGTAGTCACCATGATGTGTAATAGAACTTGAACTTATTCTAACTGAAATTTTGTATCCTTTGTCCAACATCTCCCCATTCCCTCATCTCTTACTTTTGATGAAGGTTCATAGCTAGATTCTGCCTCTATCTTTGCTACCCACTTCATTCTGTTTGCAACAAACAGCCATAGGGATCTTGTAAAAATCTACCATGTCACTTTCCTGCTTAAAAGCACTTCATGGGCTGGGCACGCTGGCTCACACCTGTCATCTCGGCACTTTGGGAGGCCGAGGTGGGTGGATCACCTGAACTCCTGAGTTCAGGAGTTCAAGACCAGCCTGGCCAACATGGTGAAACCCCATCTCTACTAAAAATACAAAAAATTAACTGAGTGTGATGGCAGGTACCTGTATTCCCCGCTACTCGAGAGGCTGAGGCAGGAGAATAGCTTGAACCCGGGAGGCGGAGGTTGCAGTGAGCTGAGATCGCGCCACTACACTGCAGCCTGGGAAACAGAGCAAGACTCTATCTCAAAATAATAATAATTAAAAGCATTTCATGTTTTACTCAGCATAAAATACAAACTTCTTACCATATACCCTACATGATCTGGCCCTTCCTATCTCTCAGGCTTTCCTACTGCTTTACCCCCTGGTCATCCCACTGTGGCCACTCTGGGATCCTTTTGTCTCTTCAAATAGGCAAAATGATTTCCTGCTTCATGTTGCACTTACTGCTTCATCTCCCTGAGATGATTTGGTCCCATATCTTCACACAGTTGCTTTCTTGTCTATCAAATCTTAGCTCAGATGTTACCTTCCTAGTACCTTCCTAGTAGGGTACTTTTTCTTGATCACCCGATCTTACCAATTATTGTACTTGCAGATACCTGAAACTGTCTGTTCTGTTGTCTATGTGTTGATTATTTGTCTACGCTGCCCCATCAGTCTGTAAGACACAAAAGAACAGTCACTTTATTTTTCTTGTTTATGCTATATCCTGAACCTGTAAAGCAGAATATGACCCATAGCAGAAGCTCTGTAAACATTTGTTAAATAAATGAATAAAAGAGGTTCAGTTTAACAAGTATTAAATCCCTGCCATGACTTAAGTACCATGTTAGACATTGGGGATATGGTGAAGAATTGGATATGATGCACACCTTACAGAATAAACAAAAACAAGTTCATGGGTAATAGTAAAGTAGAAAAGTCCTTTATGATTTATTTATAAAATACAGTGGTTATCCTTTCTTGACAGTATATGAACTCCCCTATCTTTTTTATTTCTTTGAATGAAGTGTAGGAGGTGAAAGTTATTAGATGGAACGGGAAGGCAATGGAGAAATTTCTTCAGAAATTGACTGTGGAAGAGTATCATGGGTTGTTTCTTGAGTTTGAAGAGCTATGCTAGAATTGAGTTTCCAAGCTGGGACAGTGGTCAGGATCACTGATCTTGAGGCATTTATGCAGTTGGCACGGTTTACTTTTCATGTTACTCCTATTTCACACCCAGTTACACACCCTATTTTCATTCCCTCATCAGTGAGGGCTCTAAAGCTCTCCTTATGCATGGCCTCCCTCTTACCCAACTCTACTTCTAGGAACGAGTCAGAGACTCATGCCTGTCAAGAAAGCAATAGCCACTGTAAACATTATCCTTGTCATACGATTTTATATTTTTAATAGAGATCAAAGTTGTATGCTATGGGTCTCATTTTTCTGTGAGGAGAAGGAACTAATGTTTATTGACATGAAGTATTAATATCACTTGAGATTAGAGGGCTGTGTTAGTGAAGTCCCTTTGCTAGTGAAGTTAGTGGAGTAGGGTGGAGTTGGGGAGGTAGAGAGGGGCACATGTTGACAGCAAAGACAGGAGCAGAAACACACTTTTTATTGAGGAAACCAGAAAACCCTGAAGAATGTGATAGGACGGATGGGGGAGAGGACAGTACCAGTAGCTTGGAAGAGATGAAAGATAAACCTTGAAGATATTCTAGTTAAGGGACCTTGTGTAAAGCTTAAATAGAAGAAACTAAAGAGTGGAATTTCATAATTTAGTCAGGACTAGGGGAGGACTTTGGGGGTCTGGACCTACTTAGAGCCCCTTGACTTACCTGGCGGATTATGGATACTGGGTTTTGGTAGAACTCAAGAGGAAAAAAATAACTAGAAGTTGAAAAATCATAAAAGTGTTGAACAGGTCATAATGTGTGTGGTAGAAATTGAGTTGGATGATCTTCAAAGTCTTTTTCAATTCCAAACACTTCTGTGTTTGTGATCATTTATATACAATTAGTTAGCCAACATCAGATCCTTCATTAGCACTCAGCATTTTCTCATGAGCCTTTTCTATAAATTAAGTATAACTTTGAAAAATCTAATACCCATAGCTAATCATTTTAATGTGACACTGTTCTGTACTTTCTTCCTTTTTCTAAAAAGGCAAAGTCAATCCAAAAAGCTCTCAAAAGAAATTACATTGGATTCCATCTTTTCGTACCTATGATGACTTCAACCAAATGATGCTAAAGGTAAGAGGGCTTTTGTTCTTTGATTACTTCATATGTTGAATACATATAATAGAAGACAAAGAATAGTGTTTGTCAAAGTGTGATTAGGAGATAATATGCATTAGAATCAACCAGGGAGCTTGATAACTTAAATCGTCTGGATCAGAATCTCAAACCTGTTAGGGCCAGGAGTTTGCATTTCTCTCAAGCTCCCCGGATGCTTCCTATGCCAACTGAGTTTTGAGAAACACTGATTTTGAGTGACAACAAACACAAACAAATCTTTGCATAGGTTAGTGGCAAGTTAAGTGGTTATCTGGTAGACTCTTTCAACATAGATGGTTATACTCTAATGAATTAGCCTTCAAGTAGTTGTTCCCCACTCAAGAATGTAAGGTGTTTATAGTTTCTATCTCCAAGAGAACTGGTTAGTTTCACAAGCCACAAACTGCACTCCAAAGGACCATATTCCTTTGAGTTGGACAGATAAGGATACAGATTTTGCCTTTGTCACTTACTTGCTGTGTGTCTTGACTGAATTACCATCTCTGAGCCTTGATTTCTTTCTCTTTAAAATGAGTAAAAATGATCTTTATCTCATTGAGATGATGTGAGAATAAAATAATGTGAACATGTGTAAAATATATAGTACACTGTTTGGCAATATTGGACACCCAGAAATTATCAGTCTGGTCCTTTTTCTCTTTCAGTACTGGCTGATCACCCAGCACTATGACCATTAGTGGTCATAATGGTGTCTGAGAAAGGCATTGTGTGAGTGAATCTTTTCAAACCCATCCCAATGTTAGAGGCAAAATTCTACTGACTGTGAATGAGTGGAACCATATTTTAATATTCTACTTCATTTTTCTTCCTTTTAAGCAACAGACTCTCACTTTTTTTTTTTTTTTTTTTTTGACACAGAGTCTCACTCTGTCATCCAGGTTGGAGTGCAGTTGTATGATTGTGGCTCACTGCAGCCTCAGCCTTCTGGGCCCAAGCAATCCTCCCACCTCAGCCCCCAAAGTAGCTGGGACCAGAGGTGCACACTACCATGCTCAGCTAATTATATTTTATAACTCTTTATAGAGACAAGGTCTCACTTCACCCAGGCTGGTCTCCTGAGCTCCTGGGCTCAAGCGATTCACCTTGGCCTCCGAAAGTGCTGGGATTACAGGCATGAGCCACTGCACACGACCCTCTCTCAATTTTATTAAAGGTTTTGTTTTAGGGATCCTATACACAAATATTTGCTAAATAGAGGACTTAAAATGTGTTATGTGAAATCCTGTTACCAATTTTATGAAACCAGATGCTTGTTTGAAATATTTTAGAAGCTAGACAAGGTATAACTACACCCTAGAGGGATAATTATGTTCACAACTACAGAATATATGGCATTCAACTGGAAGGATCAGAATATCTTGGGTAATTCCCTCCTTTCCACTTTATTCCCCTCCATTAGGCTTTAATAACTTCCCTAGAAAAGTCTGTTCTTTATTCATGAAGTTTTTTCTTGAAATAAACAAGCTCAGTCTGACTAATCAGGGCTGACTTCAGCCAGAGAGATGGAAACATCAGGAAATCTGAGAAGAGCTCTTTCTCTTCACTTTCTAGTTTCATTACAGCTTTGGCCATTCTTTTGAAGCATGAAAGAAAGCAGAGTTTGGAGGGCAAGAGAGCAAGGTGCCTTTGTTTCTTATGGCTTGTATTTCAGAGCAATGACTTAGCTTTGGATGTTTCCTTCCTGTTTGCCATACTGTTGGTCAAACGTAAGAGCCTCCTGACATCTGTGTAACAACCTACACAGTGCTCTCATGTAGAGTAGCCGCTCTCATGTAGAGTAGCCTATACAGTGCTCTCATGTAGAGCATCCTCTTATGAGGATGCTCATAGGCATCCTCATAAGAAACCTATGAGTAAGTTAATAATGATGTTGATCCTTTTTACTGTAGGAAAGAGGAGACCAAACTGGGAGAGCTTGCACCTTGTACCTTGTGCTACTCCAAGACCTGTTGAGTAGCACAGCTAAGTAGCACACCATGTTTCCTCACTTACACTCCAGCCCATGGGGGTCCAGACTAACTCAGAGCAAACCATCTCAGTAGAGAATGTGGTAATCAAAATGCCAAAAGCAAGCAGACATACAAAAAATGAGTAGAGGAGCAAAACACCTTACCAGATCCGCCTAGACTCTTTTCTGAACCTATGTGTTTGGAAGGTCACTTCAGGCATGTGGCAGTTTTGGACGTTATCTTTTGACGTCTAATAGGAAATAGCAAGCACCCAATTTTAAAAACTTTTACTTAAAATTTTATCTTACAAAAATGTATATAACATATATTGACAGTTAAAAAATAGTACAGGTAACACTGAGGTTAAGAAATAGAGCATTACCAGATCCTTTGAAATCCCCTTTGTCATGATCTTCTTCCACACCACTTCTTTCCTACCATTTCCTGAGTTCTGTATCAATATTCCTTTGCCTTGCTTTGTATTTTTAGGACAAGTGTATGCATCTGTAAGTGATATGTTGTTTTCTTTTGCATGACTTTCACCTTTATATAAATTGAATTATATTGTATGTATTCTTCTCTGACTTGATATTTTTGCTCAACCTTTTTCAATTCATCCATGACACTGCATGTAACTCTAGTGCATTCATTTTTACTTCTGTATTCTTGTTAGAACATACTGTACAATTAACCATTTTACTGTTGATGGGCACTAGAAATCGGTTTTAGCTCATGCTCCATAGGAAGTAGAGGCAGAAACAAAACTTACATGCTAAGGTTTTAGTGGGATATACATTCTCAGGATAGCGAGGGTGAGGGGGAAAGAAAAGTAAGGCAGGGAAGAAGGGAACTGAAATTTAGGATAGTTTATTACCAAGCTGGATACAGCTTCACAAGAACACACAGTGGGTTGTTCAGTCACTCTTAAACTATGTAAAAGGCACCACACCTTAGAATAGTCTGTATAGGGGAGGAAGGGAAAATACTGTATCTACCAGTTCCTTTCTATCTCCTGTCATTTTCTATCTCCTGTCATTAGTCAAAAGTCACCTGGCTTTTTTGGAAACCCACTGGGGTACCCAGATCCGATGCCCCAAGGTGGATGAAGTTACTGCTTTCATGAATCCAGTCACTTTGGATGGATACTGAAAACCCCTACTGCTGGCGGAGTTAGGAGACTAGGCTGGGACTGCAAAAGGAAAGCTAAAATCCCTGGCTTGATTGAGGGTGGGATGGGGTATGAATCGGAGGCGCATAAACTGGGTCTTGCAGAGCTGTAGGTTTTTGTTATTGAGAGCAGTTTTGGTTTGAACATTTTTGTTCGTATATCCTTTTCCATATAAGCAAGAGTGTTTCTAGGTGTATATCTAGGAGTGAGATTGCTGGAGGGTAGGGTGGAGTGGTAGGGTAGCTCCCCTTTACATGAAAATGACAATGCTTTTCAAGTGGCTGTGTTTCACTGTGTATTTTACTGTTCATTTATATTCTTAGTAGTAGTGGGTGAAAGTTCTTATTGCTCCACATCCTTGCTAAAAATTTATTGTCTAATTTTTAAACTTTTGTCGATTGGGAATGGAATGGTGTCTTGTTTCATTACAAATGACAATGAGTGTCTTTTCACAAATTTTGAGGCCATTTGTGTTTCCTCTTCTATGAGATGCTTGTTTCTAACCTTTGCTCAGTTTCTTATGGTATTGTTGTTCTTTCTAATTATTCATATGTTGGAGATTTTAAACAGATTCTGGAAATGAATCACTTGCAAGTTATGTGTTGCAAAATTCTTGTTCTAGTTTGAAACTTGCCTTTTCACTATTTAAGGTGACTTTTGACAAACAGAAATTATTAATTTTAAAGTAATCAAATTTACCAAGGAGTGTTTACTTTCTTGTTTAAAAAATCCTTAACCTACCACAAGGTAATAAATATATTCTCTTATATTTTATTTTAAAAGCTTTAACGTTTTATCTGTTATATTTAATGTGTTCATACTTTTTGAGTTCTTTTTTGTGTATGCTATGAAGGAGAAACATCATAAAGATAAGAGAATATTTTAAAGTAGTGATTTCGCTGTTTAATGATGATGTGATTGGTTATATTTTTTACTTCTTCCCAAGTCACTTTTTGTAATTTATATTTTTCTAAGACTTGCTTTCAAATTTGTTGGCATAAAGTTGTTCATAATGAAGCTTCTGTAATGATATCCACTTTTCACTCCTAATATTGTTTGTGTTTTTTGCCCCATGATTTGTCTTACTGGAGGTTTGTCAATTTTAATGTTCTTTTCGAAGAATTGACTTTTAACTTTGTTGATTCTCTCCATTGTGTCATTATTTTTTATTTTATTAATTTCTGCTATTTTTATTATTTACTTTTTTCTACTTTTTTGGGTTCGTTTTTTGTTCTCTAACAATGTTAGATTATTTAATTCATTGATTTCTAACCAATTTTCTTTTCTAATATATACACTTAGGCAAAGATTCCCAAATGTTGTTTTAGCTGCATTTCACAAGTCTTGATAAATGGTGTTTAAAAAATTATTATATCATGAATACTTTCTAATCTCCATTATAACTTATTATTTGGCCTGTTTTTTTATTATTGTAAAATGTATATAACATGAATTTATCATTTAATCACTTTTAAATATAGAGTTCAGTGGCATTAAGTACATTCACATTATTGTGCAACCATCACCACCATCCATTTCCAGCTTTTAAAAGCTTGCGTAATTGAAACACAATAACTCCCCATTCTCACTTTCTCCCAGTTCCTGGTAACCACCATTCTACTTTGTGCATCTATCTATTTGGCTGTCCTAGGAACTTCATATAAATGGAATCATACAGTAGTGTCCTTTTGTGACTTGTTTCACTTAATATAATATCTTCATGTTTCATCTATGTTGTAGTATGTGGCAAAATTCTCTTTCCTTTTAAGGCTGAATAATATTTCGTTGTTTGTTATACATTTTGGTTATACATTCATCTGTTAGACACTTAGATTGTTTACACCTTTTGGCCATTATGAATAATGCTTCTGTGAGCATAGGTGTACACATATCTGTTTGAGTTCCTGCTTTCAGGTTTTTTTTTTTTTTTATACACCCAGAAGTAGAAATGCTGAATCACATGATAGTTCTATGTTTAGTTATTTGAGAGACTGCCACAGAGTTCTCTATAGCAGCTTTGTCATTTTACACTACCCTCAATAGTGCATAGGGGTTTCAATTTCTTCATATCTTGTCCCAAAACTATTTGTTTTGTTTTAATCATAGCCCATCCTAATGGGTTTGAGGATTTCGTGACTTTATCCAAATGTAGAATCCTGTTTGCAATTACTTGGGCTTCCTGAATCTTAAGATTGGTGTATTTTATTACTTCTGGATAATTTTCAACCTGTATCTCATTGAGTATTTCCTCTTCTCTGCTATATTATCTCCTTCTGGAACACTGATCAGACATATGTTGGACTTTCTCATTCTCTTCTCCATGAAATGAATTTATCTTATTTTTTCATTTGTATGTCTCCTTGTGTTACATTCTGAGTCATTTTCTCAGCTCTTTCCAGCTCAACAATTTTATTTCTGGCTGTGTTTTAACATCCTATTTAACCTATACATTAAGTTTCTAATTTTGATGACAATATCATCTATAGACATTTTGTTTGATTATGTTTTATATCTCACGAGTCAGTTTTGAGTCTCTTGTTTCTTCATATTTTTAGTGCCCTTTGTTATTTATTTAAGCCTATTAAGCATACTTGTTTTGTATTCTGTATCTGATAATTCCAATATCTGTTATTTTTTAAATATGATTCTTTATTTTATTATGTCTGTGGCCTCTTGTTCATAATGCTTCATCTCTTCCTGTGTTTTATTTTTATTATAAGCTCATATTATTTGTAACTTTATCTGCATGAGTTCTTTGAACTCTCATTTTAAAATAATTGTCTAGATGTGATTTTGATTTACTTTTATTAGACATATGGGGTCAGGATCACTTTAAACTAGATATTAGACTTTGGTCGTTGAGAGGCACACAGGTAGTATATGAATTCTAGCTCCAAGTTTGTGTAAAGGTGGGCTTCTGCTTAGTGCCTCCTAAAGTTGACTATTTTCTCTTTTCCTACTCTTCCCAGGACTGAGGCTGAGGGAGGCATGCACATTCCCTGTCTCCTTTCACTGGATAAGATTTTTCTGTTTCACCTGTTGAAGGTGTCACCCTTTTGGAGACCTGGCTTTATATTGTGGTCTTTGATTTCACCTCCTGCCTTGTACAGGCCTCGGCTTTGCTTTTGGCCCCCAAGCTCTAGGCCATCAGTGTTGGAAGATAGTCTCAAGGCAAATACAGGGTCTAATATTCTCTGATGTCTTAATTCTCACAATCTAGTCATTTCTGACACCAGATTATTTCCATTACTTTACCAATAGCTTGGTCCTGTTTTGAAAAATAAGTTTTAATATATTTTATTCATCATTTTAGATATTCTCTACCAGGAGGCATTTGTCTGGCTATTGAATCCATTATATAGCAGGAAAGTGATGGCAATATCCATATTTATAAGGAGATGACTAACCTAACCACAAATGAAAGTGTCCTTAAAATGTTTTTAACTTTTTTGAAATTAAGTGTTCTTAAAGTGAAACAACCTACACATGGAAATGAATCTTCTTAGCTTGTGTTAGAGAATTTCATGTTAATTCGGTGTACATTGAAATTTGTTTAAGTGACACATCATTTGATAAACATTTCATGCTTAAGGTTAAGTAGATTCTGTGTAGGAGGCAGAATAATGGAATTTTAATTAAGTCTGTGCCTACTTTATTGATATTTAAGGACTGCAATACATTTCAGTGTGCTATTATAATTATCTAAGCATTTAGCAATAAAGCTATCATTTTATTATTGTTCCACTATTTAATTACATTATTATCCTCTTGTCATTAGTTATTAGATGGCTTTATGATTACACTGAGCGCAGATGGAGTGATCATTCATGTGGCTGAAAACATCTCTTCTCTTCTTGGACATTTACCAGTAAGTTATTTCTACTTTTGGGAAAGTGGATCATTCTGGTTTGTTGTTTAGGGGTTCATTATTTATTTTCAGGAGCATAAAGCTCATCAGAGAAGATGTTTTCCATGTTGTCAAAACGTGCCCCTGTTTTATTGTCATTTTCATTGGTTTCAGAATACTGTAGATTGGGTGCCTTTGTAAACAACACAAATTTACATTTTATAGTTTTAGAGTCTGAGAAATCCAAGATCAAGGTGCCAACAGATTTGGTGTCTAGTGAGGGCCCACTCTCTGGTTCATAGACATCTTTATTCTTATTATAACCTCACATAGTAGAAGAAGCAAGGGAGCTCCTTTTTTTTTTTTTTTTTTTTTTTTTTGAGATAGAGTCTCACTCCGTCACCCAGGCTGGAGTGCAGTGGTGCGATCTTGGCTCACTGCAACCTCTGCCTCCTGGGTTCAAGTGATTCTCTTGCCTCAGCCTCCTCAGTAGCTGGGATTATAGGCACACGCCACCACGCCTGGCTAATTTTTGTATTTTTAGTCGAGACAGGGTTTCACCATGTTGGCCAGGCTAGTCTCAAACTCCTGACCTCAAGAGATCTGCCCATCTCGGCCTCCCAAAGTGCTGGGGTTAAAGGCATGAGCCACCATGCCCAGCCTAGGGGTCTCTTTTATAAGGACACTAATCCCATTAATCATCTCCAAAGGCCCCATCTCTTAATATAATACCGTCACATTGACAGTTAGATTATTTCAATATATAAAGTTTTGGGGGACATAAACATTCAGTCTGTAGCAAGGCCTTGATATTCCACTTATACAGGTGCTTGAGGAGGGGTTACCTAGAATACATTTACCAACAACAACCCTCCCACACAAACTGTCTGCCATTGGCATGGTTGTGTTAACAAAAAGTTTTGGGAGAGGATATGAAGAAATTGAAACCCCTATGCACTATTGGTGGTAGTGTAAAACAATCATATCTCGATTGTTTTCATTATGTATTCCTCATTCCACAGAGTTGTCTCAAGAACTTGACAAACCCTGATCCAGAGATCTATAGCACTCAAGTTTGGAACATGGAAATTAATAGAAGCTAGGGTTAGATTATCCTGTAGTTAGGTTGGAAGTGGATTAAAAACATTTCACTAGTTTAGCCAGGCCAGTTGGCATGTTCCGTGGCCTGCTTGGAAACTCGGAGTCCTTATACCCTTTAAAAAAAATTACAGATGCGGCCGGGCACGGTGGCTTACGCCTGTAATCTCAGCACTTTGGGAGGCCGAGGCGGGCGGATCATGAGGTCAGGAGATCGAGACCATCCTGGCAAACACGGTGAAACCCCATCTCTACTAAAAATACAAAAAAAATTAGCCGGGCGTGGTGGTGGGCATCTGTAGTCCCAGCTTCTCGGGAGGCTGAGGCAGGAGAATGGCGTGAACCTGGGAGGCAGCAGAGCTTGCAGTGAGCCGAGATCGCTCCACTGCACTCCAGCCTGGGTGACAGAGCGAGACTCCGTCTCAAAAAAAAAAAAAAAAAAAAAAAAAATTACAGATGCTAGAATCAATCTCTTTTATTTCTCATTCTCTTTCGTTTTTTTAAAAAACAGTTTACATTTTCAAATTCAGCTTTTATTTGTAGGCTACCAAAACAGCTGAATAAAATGCAAATAGAGATATTTATTGGATTGCACTTTAGTATATTTAAATCATAGAAGGAAAAGATTCTTTTAAAATGTATATTAAAAGAAGGAATGTGCGAGTATGATCCATTACAGCTTAAATTTTATTATAATGAAGACCAGAAAACTACCCAAATTTTTGTGGCATCAGATATTGCTTAAACCAAATTGGTCATTGGCTGAGACTGGTGACTTTTTCTTATTATGTGAGGATTTATTATAATGATGGTGTTAGTTATGATACGATCTTGCTTCTTTATGTATTTGGTTCAGAGTTTTCATTATCAAGAAGCTCTTTCACCCTTCAACATTTGAGGTACCACACACACACACGCTGCCCCCAAAACCACAAGGTCTAAAGAGGTATCTGGGACATGTGCTTTGAACTGCCAGCCTTAAACAATAGACTTGATTTACCTGAGATCAGTGTACTTAAAAATAAATGTATAACTATTATATTTGTACATAAACATTAAATGGGAATTAAGTTATATTTTCCTATAAAACAAGGTTAAAACCGTCTACACCTGAGGCATAGTTTCACACTTCCTCATTAAATCCTAACTGTTCTTAGTTTTCCGAAACAGGCAATCTTTTTCTCAGGTTTTGATTAAAAATTTCATTTTGTAAGTCATCCAACTTATATTATAAAATGGAGACCGAACCATTTCTAGAGTGTCTGCGTGGCTCCAGGAATCTTCAGTTTCATTGCACATCTAGGCACCTCTGTCTGTGGAGCAACTCCAAACTAATAGCATGGTGGAATGGAAAGAACTTGGTCTTTGGAATCAAATAATCTAGAAATTAAAATTTGCTTTGTTTCTCTCTACGTAACCTTTAGTTTCTCTTCTATAAGTGGGGAAATAATATTACTTAGAGAGTGCTGGGAGATGAGTTATTATAAATAACGTGATTATACAGAGACCTGAATGGAGTATGTGTGATATGCAGGTAATTGGAGCAAGTATCTTTCAGACAGAGGAGAAAGCATATGTAAGAGCCTGAAAGCAAGAAAAGGTACAGCAGAGAGAACAGTGTGACTGGAGTGATGTGAGCAAAAGGAAAATAGAGATGATAAAGTCAGAGCAGTAACAGGAGAAGTAACATCCCTTTTCCTCTGAGATGGGAGGAAGCCATTGGGGAGGTTGGAGCAGATGAAAGAAATGATCTGACTTAAGTTTTATCAGAATCGCTTTGGCTGTTATGTCAAGAATTGGCTATGAGGGGCAGGCATGGAAGTACAGAGTCCACTTGGAGGGCTATAGATGGTAGTGGGTTGGATTAACGTGGCAGTGAAAGTATTTTGTAGGTAAAATAAGTTGTTTTACTGATGTATTGAAGATGGGTATGACAGAGAGATAAGATGTGTCCAAGTTATGCTGTTACAACACATACCATGAATAAAATGATGCCTGTTATCATTATCATCATGGTATTAAACTTTTATCTGAAACCTTCCATCATATTTTCCCAATCATTGATTTCATTGACAGTTTTTTTTTTCCTTTGGAAAAACTCATAGTCATTTGTAGTAGTAAGTTCTAGTCACTGCCCCGTGTTCTTAGCAGCCTGCCCTCCTACTCACCCTACTCCATCGTTCCCCCTGAAAATAAAATCAAATCTGGGAGTTTACATATATTTATTCTTTTGCAGTTCTAAAGCAAATGAAACTTTTAAAACATACGCTACATCTGAAAAGATTCTCAGCATTGAATCTTTAAGAGATTAGACTTTAGCGGATTTTGAACATAGGTACATGGTTAGTTTGTAATAACTGTGATGAGATTTGCTCTGTTTTCCCTGAGAAGCTTACAGATAGCAGAGATTTAGTAGTGATGAGTCTCATTTGATTTGAGATGCAGCCTAAATCTCCTGCAGAGGATCTTATCCTTCCCTGTGCCCCATACAGTTGAATAGTTTTCTAATGCATGTGTAATATGAATGTCTTTGGCAGTAAAAAAGATGCTTCTTGCCTAGATTCTCAGTAAATGTCATGGAGTCCCCAGTAAATTTCTTAATTCTTTTTTCTTTGTTGTTTTGGCGTGACTGAGACTCACCATGCTAATATTTGTGTGACAACTAATAGATATTTGCAAACTTGGCTTTTGAAAAAACACCTTAATTTTCGCTGGTATTTATCCTTGCTTCATTAAGTTCTAAGTACCTTGATCTTTCTACCTTGTGTAATAAGAGCAAATGCTAAAAATTTACAAAAATAACATGAGGTTAATCACGCTTTCAGGTCTCTGCCCTTTTTCTAACTAAGGAACAAGGTCACTGGAACAGATCCACTGTTTCAATTGGTGGTTAATTATAAGGCTTATTGTCACTATTCCTATCCCTAGAGAATCAAAAAGAAACTCATTACCACTAGTCACATCCAAGAGAATGTAGACTATCAAAAGATAGCTCACTTTGAACTCTTTTAAGTGACAATGCTATCTTCATTTTTCAACTAATGAAAGAACTTATGAGACATAGCACTTTGTACCTCTTGTTAGGGTATTATTTTATACTTTACATCATAATTGATTGTGCATACTTAATCTGCCCTACTAGACTATGTGCTCATTGGAATTCATTGTCAGGTTCACCTTTTGTAACCCTTATAAGAAATAAGTGTAAAATCTTATTCAGTGAATTACTTCATGTAGAATGTCCAAAATACAGGAACTGGTCCAGTAGCAGATTTTCTGTTCCTGATGCAAATTGGACTTAGGCAGCTATGGTGTAGTAAAAGGAACAATAGATATGGAATTAGATGTAGCTTTCATGTCAATTTCATTTCTGCATTTCTGAACTCTTGACAATTGGAGAAGCCTTCATTTCCTGAAGAATAAGACAAGGGATAATTCTTACTCTCCCAGGGGATTAAGTGAGCTTTTATATGTGAACATACCTAGAATAGTGACTGGCATGGAGCAGTTGTTTATCGTGTGTTAGATGAGTGAATGAATGAGTCGTCTCCACATAGGTGACCTAGTTTGGCATCTAAAGTCTATTTTATAACTAAACCAACAAAAACGTTTTTATTGAAAAAGTTAAATTTAGTGAAAAAAAATCTACCTTTCTTTTTACTGTGTGACTTTCACTGTCAAGATGTATTGCCTGTTAATTCCATAATGTTTTGTTTGGTAAATTAAGGTAATATTTCTATCCTTAATCAAGCCAAACTTGATTGAGACAGCATCCATCTGCTAATTCGAGCATTGACCAGTTCATAGGCTGGCTTCTACAAATGGGCCATAAAGATATATTTCTGAATATTGACTGTAGATTATTAATGCTAATCAGTTAAAAAATCATTGGAATTTGTGGTTTGTCACACAAAGCCATTATTCAGCTACAAAGAATACTTTATTACTTTGTTGCTATCACATTAAAAGCTCATTACTTCTATATCTGATATTCAATTTATCCACGTCTCACCATATTTCAGCTACATGATACAATATTATTCATTCATTCAACCAATATTTACTGAATGCTTACCAGTGCCAAGCTCTGTTCTAGGTGTTGAGGGTATAGCAGTGAATAAGACAGGCAAGGTCTCTGTTATACTGCAATTTACATTTTAATGGGGGAGGCAGATAATAAACAGATAACAAAAAAGGCAATAAGAGAATGTCAAGGAGTTGGTGCTATGTAAAATACTTTTGAGTAAAGACCCGTATTAAGTGAGGGAGAAAGCCATTGCAAGTATTTGGGAACCAGTGCTTCACATTTAAGGAGGAGTTAGTTCAAGGGCTCTGTGATGAGTATTTGCTCTCGTTGTGTTTGGATGTGAATGAGGAGTTAGGTGTACCTGGAGTGCAATGAGCAAGAGAGAGAGAGAGAGATAAGGTCAATAGCAACAAGGAACTAGAATATTTAGTGGTGAAAGCCCTTATAAAGATGTTGGCTTTTATTCAGAATGACTTGGATAATCAGTGGAAAATTTTGAGTGAACATAGGAATAGCATGATGTGGCTTATGTTTGGAAAGGATCACGCTGGCTGTTCAATAGAGAATGGAGTGGTGGCGGAGGCATGGCAAGAATAGATGCAGGGAGAGCAGTTACGGCTACTGCAGTAATCCAAACTGGAAATGAGACTTGGACCAGGTGGTGAAAAGTGTACTGAGTCTGTACGTGTTTTGAAAATTGATCCATTAGAGATTGCTGATGTATGTTGAGTTTGAGAGATAAAAGGCAAGTCAAGGACAAGTAAATGGGTAAATGGTGGTTGCCATTACTGATATTAGGAAGACTGAGGGAGGAACATATTTTGTCAAAGAAAAGATCAGGAGTTCTTTTTGGATCTCTTAAAATTGAAATCTGATTAGACATCCAAATTGAGTTATCGTGTGGGCAACAGACGAGTATCTGCGAGTCATTAACAGATAGGTGGTATTTAATGAGATGGAAGTGGAAGAGACCACGTAGGGAAACAGGCCTAATGACTAAGCCCTGGCACTCTGATGCCTAGTATTCAGGAAGCAAGAGTAAGATCTAGCAAATTGTGAAAGAATAGCCTTTGGGGTAGAAGTATATCCTCATGTGTGTGGTGTCCTGCAAGTCAAGTAAATGTATCAAGGGAAAAGGAAGGATCAATTGCATGAAATGCTGAAATGCTTGGTAAGATGAGGGCTGAGAAGGGCTGAGAAGTGATGATTTGATTTGGCAATATGGAGGGCATTAGTGACCTTGACAAAAGCAGTTTCAGTGGGTTGGTTAGATATAAACTTCATTAGTGTGGTTTCAAGAAAGAGTGAGAAGTGAAGAAAGGGGAGGTGACAAGTATAGTTTCATTTCAGGAATTTTTGTCCCAAAGTGGACCAGATAAGTAGAGTTATAATTGAAGGGAGAGGCGGTAATGTAAAGGAAGATTATGCATGTTCAGAATTTTGTGTTGTTTTTGTTTTCCTGATTATTTTTAAAATTTCTTATTGATGTATAATATTTGTACATAACTCCAGATAAGTAGAGTTATAGTTGAAGGGAGAGGCAGTAATGTAAAGGAAGGTTATGCATTTTTAGATTTTTGTGCTGTTGTTTTTGTTTTCCTGATTATTTTTAAAGTTTCTTATTGATATGTAATATTTGTACATATTTATGGCATACATGTGATATTTTGATACATGCATACAGTGTTTAATGACCAAATAGATGACAGATATCATAGCATGTATAATACAGCATTCTGTATGCTTATCGGAACACCCAGTCAAGAGGAAAAGAAAACTTGATGTGTGGGGTAGAGTAAGACTTTCTAGAACAATGTCTTTTCATAGTCTACAGAAAATGGGATGCAGTGCACAGGCGAAGGAGTCAAATTTAGGTAACAGCTTATTCATTGGAAGAGGAGGGAAAGCAGGTCTCTAGGCACAGGAATAGATATTATCGGTTGGTAGATTTGGTGTCAGATGTTGACATTTCCCATTTTTTTCACTGACTGAAACAAGAAATTAGGTCAGCTGAAAATGAAGGAAGGCTGGGGCATTGGAGGTTTGAAGGAGGAAAAAGAGTAGGGGAGCAAATTGTCTAAATAAATGAATTTTGGGCAGAGTTGAATACGTATTTCAAACAATATACTGCTTAGTTGTGGGTTTTTCTTCATCTACATTCAATTGCTTGGGTGAAGGTGTGGGTGTAAATGAAAGGTTGGAAGTAACTAGAGTCAAAATTTTTCCAGGCAAGTGTGGTAGAGGGAAAGAGCACATAGGAATGATTACAGTGACCATGGAATCTCAGCTGGATAGGGAAATATGTGATGATTTGAGGAAGATAATGCACAGTGAAAATGTGATAGAAATGGGTTAGAGGTCTTAGTGGATGGAATCATTGTTGGAGAGGTGGTACATACAAGAGGGGTATTTGTATGAGTGCACTGGAAAGGTAGAAGGTAGTGGTCATAAAGTAGGATAATGTGAATTGTATTTTTTAGAGGTATAACAGATGTAACTGTAGATGGCTGAGGTGGGGCAGAGCATGAGCTCGCTGGAGGTAAGGAGATAGAGGAACTGAACAGTATTAACATAGATAAAAAAGGAACTGAACAGTATTAACACAGATAAAAAAGTTTACTCTCTCCCTCTTCCCCTCCCTTTCCCCTTCACCTCCTCCTCTCTTCTTCCACCAGGCTGAGATTGTGGGCAAAAAATTATTAAGCCTTCTGCCTGATGAAGAGAAAGATGAAGTCTACCAAAAGATTATTCTCAGATTTCCTTTGTTAAACTCAGGTATGTATATTTTAAAAAGTAGTAAATTCTTAGGTTTTAAAGGACAAGTAACAATCACTCAATGGATTAATTTTTAAAAAGATAATTAGAGCATATATGGCTGTTGATCATATATTAATTTACTTTTATATAATATTACAAACTATATTTTTAGTGTTAAAAAATCTCTCCTCCATTAAATCTTATTCTTCACCACAGACCCTGAGTATTGTAGCATTTGTACAATTGCATTAGTGCTGTATAAATAATGGACCATCGTGTGTAGTGTTCTAGCTGGTGCCCTGCTCTACTGATACAACATAGATAGCTATGTAAATGCTAATGTTCATGGAAAGAAAATAATATTTTTGTGAAATCTAATCTAAGTAAGACATTGGTCATATGAAATAATCCAGTAGAATATGGTAAAGTACAAATGTAGACTTGTTTTGTATTTGTTCTCTTTTTATTAGAAACACATATTGAATTTTGCTGTCATTTAAAAAGAGGAAATGTTGAACATGGTGATAGTTCTGCTTACGAATACGTGAAATTTATTGTGAATGTAAGAGATATTTGTAATGGTAAGCAATTCTGTTTATCTTATCTATATGACATTTATGAGTTATGTAGCCTCTCATTACTAACATAAATGCTCTTCTGCTTGGTACTTGCAAACTGTCTGATATCCCTGTGGCCACAGTTTCTGACTACTCACATTAATTAGACTTTAAAAAAATTAACAGTGAAATTTACAAGGTGGGGGACATTGAGTTGTTAAGGATGGCTCTTTCCTTTTATAAAACAAGGAAATGATTGCAAACATATAACAAAAGAAGTTTAATGCATATCCAAGCTTAAAATAATGGGGACTCTATGTGTCTATGTGTACCAGAAATTAAAGTTTAAAGCAGTATGATAATGATAAGAAGAAGCTGATTTTGTGGTGGCCTTGGTGGGTTTTAAGTCATGCATAGGCTCCATTGGCTGGAGTCAGGAATTCTAACACCCAGTCAAGCACCAGTATATAAAACCTAGAGATCAATAAAGTGATCAATAAAGTTCTGTCCATTGGCCCAGAGGAATAGTGAGTGGGTTCATCATCTCTCTCTGGGAATTTGAATGGACAAAATGTGCCACTTACAGGAAACCAAAACCCAAATTTTTGTTGCGTGTGGATATAGGGTCCATTTTACAAATTTTGAGGTGTCAGAAACTGCAAGCTGAGAAATTAACATAAATTAATTAATATTAACTGGTTTGGAGCCATTAAAATATCTGGGACTTGAATCAGAGGTAAATAGCCCAAATAGCTAACAAATATATGAAAAGATACTCAAACTCGCTAATAAGCAAAGAATGAAACATTTAAAAACCAATGACATTAGCACTCTACACCCATCAGAATGGGAAAAATTAGAAGTGTGAATAATACCAAATATTGGTGAACATGTGAGAAATAAATAAATAAATAAATGAAATTAACTCACGCAAAAGCTGGCTGATATATTTGTCATGATTCTTGGAAATTAAAGGTCATACTTTTTGAAAAAATCTTACTTGACTATGTGTGCACAGGTTACACACACACACACACACACACACACACACACACACTCCCACACACTCTACCCATGTGGTCTATATAAAAGAGAGGAGCCACATCTCTTGGAGGCTAAAATGTCTATCCACAGGGTAATAACGGAAGACTGAAAACCAACCTTAACTCTCAACATTTGATTCTCAGTAATGAATTATTTATGTTTTGGTGGGGAGGGTGGCTGAAAAGGAAAGAAGACAGGAAAAATCCCATGGCTCAGAATTTTGAAAATTGTCAATGGGTTAGCAAACAGCACATGGATGTGGCAGGTATTTGTCTTCTTGTTTTACTGGTCCACCTTTCTGTTGTCACATGTGTGTCTATCTTCCTTAGAGTCTACTATGGTCTTTAGTGGCTTATTTTCCAACCACCTCCATGCTGACTTGTCTGCTGCATGTATTCCTCAGGAGGATCGGTTTTATCTTGTGGGAAATGTTTGCATTCTCAGGACTCAGCTCCTGCAGGTGGGTATACTGTGTTTGTGCTTCCCCCATTGTGGTGACGTGGGCTTCCTTTGAAGGGTCACTTCCCCTTTGGTCTCTCAGCCACAGGACAGCATTGCTAAATTACTCAGTGTGTGCAGAGGGTTGTGCTAGGATATGCAAATAAGGAAAATCAGCTCCTATGTTTCAGAAAGTGAACATCTCAATGAAAATTTGAACACACTCAAAAGAAATGGACAATCATTTACAAGTAGTCTTGACATAATATAAAATATTATAAAAGGTAGGTGCTGGGGACTGGAACACATTAAGAGAAATGAGCATTTTGGCAGGGAGATAAAGGAAGGCTTCTGATACCAGGTGAGTTTTGAGGCAGCTCCACCACAGCCCCACTGGGTAGCTGATTGTAAAGACTTCTGCTCTCTTTGTGTTCTCTGATATACCATTCACAAATTCTAGCTCTAAAAATGATTCACTTTGGGATTCCTCTGATAGATTAAGCATCCATTAATTTATCCATTCAGTAACATATTTAGTAAGCACCTACTGTGTTCCAGGTACTGTGCTAGGTGCCAGATAGACATTAGGGGAGATAGGCAATAGCTAAATAATATTGGAAAGTGCCATGGAGGATGACAGAATAATGTGCTAATGACTAGTGCGGGTGGGGAGTTCAGTCATCAGGGAAGGTCCTTTTCGGATAATTTGTCTTTTGAGCAGAGACCCCTAGGGATGCTAAGAAAGGAAGGCAACGCAGGTAGAGGGTTCAACATCTGTAAAAGACCTGAGGTAGTAACTAGCTTGGAGAGTTCCAAGTAACAAAGTAAGTTATGTGACCAGAATAAGGTGAAAGTGGGAAGGAGCAACAGAAAATAAGATCCAGGAGAGAGACAGGGGACTAATTATGTAGAACTTTGAGATCCATGGTAATCAGTTTGGGTTTTATTTCAAGTGCATTGGAAAGCAGGAAGGTGACATGATCTGATTTTCTTTGTTAAAGGTCAGGCTGAATACTGGGTGAGAAATGGAGTATAGAGAAACAAGAATGGAAGCAAGAAGACCTAAGTGAAAGATGACAGGAGCTTGGACTATGATTGTAGTAATGGAGATAAAAGTATTCTGATTTGGGATATATTTTGGAGATAGTGCCCTTGCTGATGAGTTAAAAGTGTCTAGGAGAAGGGAGAGAAACATCTCATGGAGGACTCTTAGCTTTTTGGCTTATGGAACTCAGCAAATGGAGGTGCCATTAACTGATTTTAGCAAGACTGGGACAATGTGGATCAGGTAATGTGGGAGGCTAAAATCAACAGCACTGTTTGGGCCATGTTAATATTGTGTTGATGTTACAACATAAAACATATCCAACTCATTACCTTATAAGGGAAGCCTCTGATCCAGATTTCCTGTGTTCAAATCCTTTCCCTACCAGCTATGTGACCTTGGCCAAGTCACATCCTTTAGCCTCAGTTTCTTTTTCTATAAATGGCAGTCATAGTACCTTCTATTAGGGTTGTAAGGAGTAAATAAGACAGTTTCTCCTATATGGTAAGCACTCAGTAAATGTGAACTATTACAATTGTCGTGATCATTGTTATTACTGTCATTATTACTGCCAGTGATCCAGAGAGGGCAACATACTTGCTTAACTTTTCATCTCTGGTTTAAAATGTGGGATTTTCAGACCACATTTTAGAAACCGTGGAGGGGGCCTTTACATTCAGTTTTAGAACAAGTAATATATGTCATCATTTCTTCAAATTTAAGATGGTAAGAAAAGCGGTATAGGAGAAAGACACTTTAAGTAGGTTGCCTAATTCAGTTGCCCCTTCCATTATTCCTTCTTTGTAGCCTTGTGGGATTTGAACTGTCACATCTGCTACGAGAATACAGACATCCCACTTTGGAAGTCAACCCCAGTACCTACTTCCTTCTCTGAGAAAGAGAAAATAATCTTATTTGGCCCAATACCTTGGTTGCCCTTACAGCACAAGGAACTCTATTTGTGTTCTAGTCCAGTTTCTCTCTAGGTTTATAGGATGTTTGTTCCATATTAGTGGACATTTTGGAGAAAAAATCTTGTGCAAACAGATGGCTTTTTGGAGGAAGATTTTTTCACAGTGTGACTGTGTAGTACAGTGGGAAGAGTGATGAACTCACAGTTCAAACTTTGAAATTCTGCTCCTAGATCTACCAGCTCTATTTCTTGGGTCAAATCATTATATCTCTATAATCTTGAGTTTTCAAATCTGTAAAACTCCAGTGCATTTCTCACATTGATATGCAGATTATTTGTAACATTGGATATGAGCATGCCTCCAAAATTAATATATGCTATGCATTTTTACTATTTGCATACATACTAAATATTTAAATATTTGAATTTTTCTGCAGCAACTTTACACTTCAAAGGCAGTCAGTGACGAAGCTGAACTTATACAAGATTCAGATGAGGAACCTTTTGTGGGAGAGCTCAGGTAAGAGGTAGTATTGATAAAGGTAATGAAGATCTAGAATACAATTTTACTAAACAAAACTAAAACAAGAGAAATAACACCTACAGATATTTTTTTCCCATCAAGTTGAAAGTAAAAAGAAAAAAGAAACAAATGGGCCAGGGATGGTGGCTCATGTCTGTAGTTCCAGAACTTTGGGAGGCTGAGGCAGGAGGAGCCCTTGAGCCCAAGAGTTTGAGACCAGCTTGAGCAACATAGTGAGACCCTGTTTCTACAAAAAATACAAAAAAAGTAGCCAAGCATGGTGGCATGTGCTTGTAGTCCTAGCTAGCTGGGAGACTGATGTGGGAGGATCAATTGAGCCTGGGAGATCAAGTCTGCAATGAGCAGTGACCGTGCCACTGCATTCCAACCTTGGCAACAGAGTGAGACCCTGTCACTAAATAAATAAATAAAACCAGAATAGCAGTCTACTAGTCTGAACTTCCTTTCCCAGCTCATATAATTTGCATGTTTTTCCAACAGAATATAAATACAGGTGATTGGCTTTTTATTGTTTTTTAAAAAACATTAAAGCAATAAATAGAGAAAACTTAACTGACCCAGACATGTAATGACTTTCAAATTAAGGTAATGCATTTTAATATACTACTTCATTACTTTTTTCTTGAAAATAAAGGTAATGTTTAGACACTTTTAAATGGTAGAAGAGCAAATATGCGTTGTGGTAACTGCTAATTATACAGGATCCCTCTTTTGTGAATCTAATATGTTCTTTAAAATTTGTTTACTAACACATTTTCAGAGAGTAGAAGCCAATATTCCACATTTTACATGAGAAAAGTAAAAATATATTCCTAACCCCCAGGAAAATGCTGATTAATTTGCCAGATACCACTAACACCCCTTTATAAACTTCTTTAACAAACCACAAAGGAGTTCTGTAAAATGTAAATTATTTATAATACTGTACAGTTATTCAACATTTGATAAACTAATTGTTAGGTACGTTTGTATGTAGTAAGCCACAAGAGCATACACCATAGTGTCTGGTATTGGGAATGGATTCCATTTTCCTTCTACATTGCAGTGTACATGTACTGGTAAATAAATAATGAAATAATATATTAAATATATTAAAGATGTGCACTGTATGCCAGTAATACTTAGCAAAATAAAATAAGCAAACAAGGGAACTTTCAAAGAGGTTTCTTGGGATCAAAGGCATGCTTGTATGAGGTCTGATGGTGAGAAGAGTGAGCTGGAAGCTGTGGTCACTGTTACTATTCAGAGGCAGGAGGAGGTAAGGAAGCCAGAGCTGGTGAAGGAATGAGTTAAACAGGAAATATTTGAGGCTCATCTGGATTTAAGAGAAGGCAGGGAGAATCTTCCATTCCCATCAGAAGAGTACAGAGGTGACTGGCTGTCAACCATTGTCTGATGCTACACACAGAGCAATGGGATGAGAAACAGAACTTATGGTGGCTAGCTATTTACATCCCCTTTGCTTGGTTAAAAATTCTTCTTAGCATAAAGCTGCATTTGTATTAATAATTGTGTAATTGTGTGTTGAATGTGACAATATGACATGTCTGCTCATGCCATGATCACATTTATTTGTACCAGCATGCTGTTTTTATGGAATCTAATTTTTTTTTTTTTTTTTTTTTTTTGAGACGGAGTCTCACTCTGTCGCCCAGGCTAGAATGCAGTGTTGCAGTATCGGCTCACTGCAACCTCCGCCTCCCGGGTTCAAGTGATTCTCCTGCCTCAGCCTCCTGAGTAGCTGGGATTATAGGCATGCACCACCACGCCCAGCTAATTTTTGTGTTTTTAGTAGAGACTGGGTTGCACCATGTTGGTCAGGCTGGTCTCGAACTCCTGACCTCGTGATCCACCCGCCTCGGCCTCCCAAAGTGCTGGGATTGCACGTGTGATCCGCTGCACCCGGCCGTAATCTAAATTTTTAAAGGAATCTTCAGTGTTTTATGTTTGGCTCCTAGGAGTGGGGAGCACATGCATGACCAAACTTAAGACTTCTAGCCAGTCTCTGAATGTGCTTTATTGCTCCCAACTTTTCTTGTAGTACATGGACTTCAATAGGCCTGTAAGTCTTGCCCACTTCCTTCATTAGTTTCTCTAGTTTCTTAGAAGACCTTTTACTGAATAATGTGGAGAATAAGATACATACAAGACAACATGTTTAAACAACATGAACTCAAGACGCTATAAGGAGAATGACTGAGACACAATAGCATGCATGACTTAAACATATTCTTGCATGCGCCCTAAAACAGATTTATTTAGCAGGTTTGGGTAATGAGTTTTGTTTAAAAATTAGCATATCAGTGTAGCAAATATTTAGACAGTGAGAGTTTAGAGAACAAAGATACCTGTATTTTATTTAAAGGTAGAGCTTAGTTGGATGAAAAATATCTGATGCAGCAAGGAGCCAACTACCACATCTATGCCGTAATCTTCATAAGATACATAAGAAAAGTGTTTTCTGAAGGCTTAAAATTATGTCTTTTCTAATTTTGTAAGAAATTATGACTCAAATGTGGGTGAATGCACACTCTTTCCCCTTAAGTTCAAAACTAGACAATGGATTGTTTATCATGTAGGAAGTAAGATAGAAAATGACACTTGGGGAAAAAACGGATGCATTTAATGAAGAAAAGTCTGATTAATTCCAGACTGCTTGTCCCTCTCATATCCCTCCCTCCTCCAACTCCATCGCCACTACTCTGGCCCCAGTCTCTTCAACTCTCATGTGATGGACTGTTAGTGGACCTGGCTGGCCCACTAACTTGAGCTCTGTAAGGCAGGACCTGTCACCCTCATCCTTGTCTAGCACAGAGCCTGATATTGAGTAGGCAGAAGTGACATCTGCTCGTTAACTGATTGGTTACTTGATCTTATCAAAATGGTAATACATTCCAGGCCATGAGATCTCTCAATCATTATGCAGTATTGTTAGAAAAAAGTGCAAACCAGTACCCTATTGCTTGATTTTTTCATAGACTTGTCCCTTGTCCCCATGATATTTTCAATTAAAAAGGAGAAGAGATTGCATTGATCAGGGTTGTAATTTTTAGTTATTAATAGTCTGGCTTCCATTTTACCCTCTGGGGGATAGTTAGAAAAGCAGTTGGTCACAAATGTCATAGGGACCTACAGCTCCCAAAATGTTTCCCTTATCTTGGTAATTCAATTTTTTAAGAGTAACAAGCATCCTGCTGAGTTTTTTCTACACTTATGAAGGAAACACAAAGATGGGAATTTGAAGTGTTTAGAAGAAAGGGTGTATTTCCACAGAGAATGTCCTGTTTGTGCATGTTTAAGATTTGAGGCTTAAAAATCTTTCATTCCAGGAGAGGGCCTGAACAGCTGGGGTATTTTTCATTGAGGCTACAGATGTACTGGAGTGGAAAGTCTTGCTTTCCTGGACTACTGAAGGTAGAAAGAAGTGGGATTTGTGAGTCAGTGAGGGTCAGGCAAAGAAGTGAATATTGAGTAGCCCTCTGCTGTCTTGCTACTGCTAGAGTCAGAAGTAAGCAACTAAGTTACTTTTTGGATTTACCCAGTTGTATGTATTGGTAAGGCCCAAATTCCTATCATAGCATCATCTTTTAACACAGTGCAATTTGTTCTTCATACTTCATGATGCTATATTATGTTTATTACTCAGTTATTTTCTACACATCTAAAAGGTAGATTTTAGACTTATTGTACAGGTGAGAAAGTGCATTCGCAGAGGATGTATGATTCACCCAAACTCACACAGCTGGTTAGTCAGTATAGCTGTATTTGGGACCTAAATTATCCTAGGCTCCATTCCACGAGGACACCAGTTTCAGGAGCTGTGGCTGGTATAAGATTCAAGAGAGAAAACTCAATGAGTCTTTGGGAAGTACATGACCAGGGATGTTACTAAGAAAAAGCGTTTTTCTTTTTAATTTCACCTTAGAGAGAGGAGACTATACCAATTAGTTAGTCCCAATACTTTTTACAAAGATGGCACATTTTCACCCAAAAGTAAAGTAGAAAACGGTGGAAAATCAAATGATGAGTATTTCCCAGGTTCTGATAGCTGTTACCTGTGCTTGCAAAGTCCTCAGAAACTCTGCTACAGGACTGGAATTGGTCCCTGGGGAGACTGCATCTGTCAGCAACTCCACCAGAAAGAATGTTCCTGCCTAATTCCTCTTTCAGTGAAGACACACCTTGTACAAAGGTGTGGGGAAAATTTTGCAAAGATGTGCAATGGTCCTAATTAATGAGGTTTTGTTGCACTGAGTCTTTTTACCATACTCTACCGTATTGACTCCATTCCTTATGTCTGCCCCATCTTGAACAGAGGAGGAGCCTTGCACATCATTGTAAATGTGGCTAGCGTGCCTAGTCTTACCACTTTAGTCCCAACGAAACTTATTTATTCATACAGAAAATATTTAGCATCTACTATGTGGAAGTTTCTGTTCCAAGATTTAAGGATATGGTAGTGAGCAAAAGTCCTTATCTTCATGGTGATTACATTCTGGTGGAGGAAAAAGATAATAAACAAATCAATAGACTATAGAGTAGGTGAGATGATGAGGGCCAAGGGAAAAAAAAATTGAGCAGTGAAAGGGGGGTAGGGAATGTTATTGGGGGAAGGTTAAATATTACTAGATTTTGAAATGGCATTTTATAGGTTAAAAATGGAGTAATGTTGGCAATTCCCTGTGGTTCCCTTGTGGCCAGAAAGGGCCTCAACAAGAAGGTGACTTGAGTTAACATCTGAAAGGAGTGGAGGAGCAAGCCTCGTGGATTTTGGAGGAGATATTCCAGACAGAGGGAAGAGCAGATGCAAGGTCCTTGAGGCAGAAGTACATGGCAGAAGCGTATGTTTGAGAAACAGCAAGGGAGCCAGTGTAGCTGGAGCAGAGTCACTAGAGAGGAACATTCAGAGCATGCAGGGCCTGTGAGCAACTGTGAGGGAAGGACCAGGATCATGTCAGCTCGACCCTGCCTTGTGG